CACCCCCTGACCGGCTCCAGCTGCGCGGGCCCCACCCTGGCCCCCGAAGCACTCACCCGGTGCATGTCTTCGTACTTGAGGAAAAGCACGTTGGCGTCCAGGCGGTGCTCCCAGAACTCCTGCACGTGCTCGAACCAGGAGCCGTAGCCCACTGTGGAGACAGGGGACAGGGGTCGCAGTCACAGGAGGGAGTGCACGTGGGGATGGCGCTGGCCCCGCCTCCCCCGCAGGGGCTGTGACTCAGGAAGGAAAAGAAGCTCCCGGTTCAGGAGGGAGCCCCACAGATGAGGCCCCCCCGAAGTCCCATGTCCCCTTGCTCTCTGCACAAGTCTGTCCAGACAAAAGTCCTCAGTGCCATCCCTGCCCCCACCCCTAGACACCCTGAAGACCTGGCCATTGGGGTGAAGGCCTCTGCTCGCTGGGGGATGGACGGGCCCTAGCGGCCATGAGTTTCTGTTTAACAAGTGGTCACCGGGAAGGGAACGCTGCCCAGCGGAGACGGGGCACAGGGTCAGCTGGTTTTGCGGGCGGGGGTGGGACGGGGTGCAGGAGGCCCTATGACAGACGGTGAGGGCCTTGCCAGGTGAGGGCCTTGCCAGGTGAGCGGGCCGTGGCAGAATCCCGGTCCGGACCCGGAAGTCGCAGAGATGAGGACAGGCAGGGTGCCCTGGGTTGCCACTTGAGGCCTCACGGCCTGCAGCCCAGCCCCCACGCCCTGCAGTCCTCGGGGCTCTGGTTTGGGGGGGCCACACCCGCGGGTGGATGATGCACTGATCAGCTGGCCAGGCTGCCACGCCCTTTTAAAACACTGTTGGTTGTCCCTACCTAGTCACACTGGGCTGCCCGTCACCATGAGGGTCCCTGCAGGAGTCTTCCCAGGGGGCTTCCATGTGACACAGAGGATGCCTGTGCAGTACTGGGACCGTGGCCCTGCTGGTTCTCAGGACCAACCAGCGGTGGCGGCCATGCCGCCAGCACCTCACTCACCTGCGTGCCCGCGTGCCCACCCCTCTCCCGAACACCAGGCCCTGCAGGCACGACCCTGTGATCAAGGGCCCAAGGGGTCGTGGCCTAGCAGGAAACCACCAAGGAGGCTGCTGACCATGATGCGGGGTGACCAGCAACGGGAGGGGGGCGTCATGGGACGAGGCCTGAAGGGTCGGTAAGGGGGGACAGTCCAAGGAGAGGGCTGCGGGGGCCTGAAAGGCGGGAGAAGCAGGGGGCTGGCGAGGGGGTGCGGAAGCCCAGGGGCAAGATCAGAGGGGAGGGCTGCGGGAGAGCGACCTGGAGACAGCCCGGCCTCTCGAATCCATCACTGGCCGTGTGACCTGGGCCGGCCACCGTACCTTTCTGAGCCGCCTCCTCCACGAGTGCGTGAGGACAGAACCTGCGCCTCCCGGGCTGCCGGGCATTGAGCACGCGCGTGCAGCACTCAGGCCCTGAGGGCCTACAGGGGCCGGAGGAAGGCTCCAGGGGCGTCACACCGGGCGAGGCGCAGTGCCAGGCCCACCACGGAGGAGGCCCAGGCGGGGCAGGGGACCGCTGCTGCTCCAGGCCCGTCAGTCTGCCATCTCGCCACCAGGTGGCAGCACAGCAGCAGCCGGACCCCATATCCCTGACAAGAATCAGAGGGATCTAGGTGTCAATCAGGGCTCAGAAAGGGGCAGGGGCAAATGCGCAGAAGGAACAGAACAAAAGGAACAGGGATTCAGCAAGGGGTCTTGTTTGACACCCACTGCTGGGTAAGTCCTGGCCCCTCGGTCTCCTCACCGCAGAGGTTACAGCTGCTGGCTCAGGCCTCAGCACCCTTCCCACGTCACCCTGGCCTGTCCCTGCTCACTCCTGCACACCAGGAGGGCACACACACGGGGCAGAACAGTGAGGGGTGAGGGCAGTGGTCACTCACACAGGGACACGGCTGACTGGACAGCGAGGGGTGAGGACAGCGGTCACTGCACACGGAAGCATGTGCCTGCATCTCTGAGCCTGGCTGGCAGGTCGAGACGCTGTGGACTTTGCTGGTGGGGATGCAGTTCGGCCAGGGCCCCTCCCGCCTGTCTCCGCCCAAGTCAAAATCTTACCCGAGCGTGTTACTGGGAGAGTACCAGCTCCCTCACCCCGTTCTAGGAGTGATTCTGTCACCTGGGCACGCCCCCCCCAGAATACGCGGGTGACAACGCTCAAGGTCAATTCCATGAGCGGGTCCACCGACCTCACTCTCTTGGTAAAAGGTGCCACTTTGCTGCTCCCTCTGCACCTCATTTTTCAAATTATTCAGAACCCTGGCGAGGGAAGAGATCACAAGCTGCCTGCCCCACGCTGAGATGTGGGGCGCTGGCCAGGAGTGGAGGCCGAAGGAGGCAACAAGCAGCCAAGCACACGCGTGAAGGGCTCTGAGACCACGAGGTATGTGTGGCCTTGGCTGCAGTGCTAGGCAGTGCTACGACCTTAAAAACGGGGACAGGCCTGCATGGGGACCCCTTTTACCCACTCCTGCCTGGGCAGGAAGCTTCTGACTCCCAGCGCCTGGTGGTTTGAACTTGCTGGATACCTGCTATTTATGGCAGCACTGTCCCGAGAAGGTGGCTGCTTCAACAGACAGAGGAACACATGCTGGGACTGAAAAACATGGCTTTGGGAACCACATGAGTGGCCAGCTCCCGATGCCTGATAGACCATGAGAGGCGTAAGCCCGATGCTGGGCAGGCTGGGGAGAGGGAGGCTGGACAGAGGGCCGTTTGCGGGCTCCAGGGGCCTCAGGGTGCAGGGGCTGTGGCCTCCTCCCCCGGCCGCTCCCCCTGCCCCTTCCCCAGGCACGGCTGAAGCAGAGTTAGCGGTAGGGAGCAGAGCACTTCCAGGGCTCCGGGCACCGTGGGCCGCGCACTTCCGTGCATGAACGAGGGTGCGGCTACACGCAGGCTCAGGGGGCAGCTCCGGTTCGGCTGCCCTGAGTTCCATTTCTAGCTGCAGCGCTGTCCTCCTGAATGTCCAGCACGCACCTCACCCTGACCTCATGACGTAATCTCACTGCAGAATCCCTGACTGGGCTGGGCGGAGGGCAACGAGGCTGAGCATTATGTGACTTGGGATAACGTAAGAAGCGTATTTTTAGACGGGTACGAAATAGTCTCGGTTTAGTTAAAGTACAGGTATAACCCGTTTCAAAACTTTCTGGCTGCAAACTCTAGGTTGCCCACTTACAGTCCCAGAAGGGCACCCAGAGAAGCCATGGCTGGCAGTGGGGGAGCCACCGTGGGCGGGGGGAACAGACTGTGGTGAGGAGCCGCTGACCCGCTGCCAAGGGGACAGGTTCCTCCTGGTCCCACTGTAGCGGCCATGACCCAGCCCCCTCCTCCCCTGAAGACGGCAGGTATGGCAGGGCCCTGGCACGCCCGCCCCTGGCTCACCCTTCTCCCCTTGGAACAAGCTTCCTGCACCCAACGTGCATTACCCCCCTGGGTCGCACCGGCCTGGGGCTGGGAGCTGGGCCTGCCGGATGCTAAGCCCGGCGAATGCCCAGGGCTCTCAACGAAGCCACGGCCTCCACTCGGCCCCTGTCACCAACAACAGTGCTATCTGGGCCTCCGTTTTCACGGTTCAGACTCCAGCAGGAAGAGAGGTGCTTCTGACTGGGGAACTTCTCTGGATCCCAGCAGCGCGTGAGAGGTCAGGGCTTCTGAGTGGGACGCCTGCCCTGCTGTGTGTGAGCTACGACCTCGGACCAGCGTCCCGTCACCCCTCAGCCCCAGCGGGGAAGCGGCCCGGCGTGTGGGGGCTGAGGACAAAGCACGAGCCCAGGCCGTGCTGGGCGGCTGTGCGGGCTGACACACTCACGCTTGTCGTTCATGAACCTCCGGCAGAACTCCTGGAAGGTGCCGCGGTAGCTCATGGTGCGCAGGGAGCGGTGGAACTGGTAGTAGGCCACCACCAGGTCCTTGGGGTTCCGAGCCATGTATATGACCTGCGGGGGAGCAGACGGGACGGAGGGGCCAGTCACTCATCCCCCCCACGGGGCGGGCCACCCCCGTGCAGCCTCCCAGGCCACAGCGCCCCCCACGTGTACACCGACCCCTCGTTCCCAGCGTGAGGCCAGACCGCGTGCGTGAGGCCACCCCACGTGCGCGACACAGCCCCGCGTGCACTGGCTAAATGCACTTTTGCTGTCGCTCGGTTTCAGCGGAGGCTCCGGTCCGCGCGGCAGCGTCCGCCAGCACCCGCCAGCACAGGTCTTTCGGCGTTTTGTTACCTGTCCTCTAGTACTAATTCAAAATCAGTGGAAGACGAAAAAATTTCTGACACTAGTGGTGAGAATTCTGGGCCTCATAAACCTCATGCAGGTGAGAAATCGGGAAAATCAGCCGTGAATCCTCGGCCTTTAACAGGCAAAGGCTGCACTAAGGCTGGTCAAGTCCAAGTTCAACTGTGAGGAAGAACTCAGGTGAGAAACGTGGATAAAACGCTAGAGATGTAGGCTCAAAGACGGCCTGCACCAGAGATCTCTGGGAGCAGAGGTGGGGGACGACCAGCATTGGCCTTGGTGGGGAGCCAGCCTGTGGCGGGGAGGCGGAAGGGCATTACCTTGGAATCTCCATTGTGGAGATCCGAGGGCAGGAAGCGGTAGGGCAGGTGGCTTTTGATGAGGCGCGGAGACGTCAGTTCCTGCAGCAGGGTCAAGGGGAGAGGTGTTCAGAGGACACACAGGTCTCAGGACCTTCCTCGGGGCCCGGCAGAGAGGGTCTCAGACGGCTGGGACCAGCACTCCACCTGACACACATCTCCTGAGATATGCCCACCCTCCAGGCTGAACCCTGGGGCCAGATGTGAGCAGACACTGCCCATCCTTGGACACCCGCAGCCTGAGTCAGCCTGTCAATGTCACAAGTATCTACACAGACGACCAGGACAGGCCCTGAAGGGCAGTGGAGGAGGCATGAGGCACGAGGCAGAGGGACTGCTGTGTTACCGGGATCGTCACACACAGGCCTTCCTGAAGCTCCTGGAACATGCCAGGCTGGATGGCCAGGGCTCAGGGGTCTGCCCCCACTGTGCCATCTGCCCCAACTCACAGTCGCCCCCAAGTACTGTGCCCCCCTGTTCCTGTTCAGTCGGCCTCCCGCAGCAGAGTGTCAGCTCAGCCAGCACCGTAAGCACACGTGAGATTGGTTCTTGGCCATGCCCCAGTGCCCAGAGCAGTGGCCGGCCGCAGTGGGCGCCCAGTGCGGCCCCACAGAAGGGCTCAGTGGGCGAGTCGGCACCGGCTGCGTCCACGGGTCATGCACGAGTGTGGTGAGCAGCTGGGCAAACGCCACAGGTTGGGTGCAGAGCCCACTCACACGGCACCCTGGACTTTATTACGAGAGCGGTGACAGAACACTCATCGAGCGGGAGGAGGGACAGGAGGTCCACGCAGGCAGCGAGGCCTGATCTAAAGAGGTGGCAGAGGGAGGGGCGGAGAGAAAACTCCAGATACATCTCAGGGGTAGCATGAATGAGACTTTGAGATAATGTTTACTTCATTCTCAACACCAAATATCTGATGCAAACGCATCCCGCCACCTCCCTGGACAGGTGGAGTGAGCCCCGGGGAGGGACCCCAACACCCCCTCCCATACCCCCACTGCCCACTTCCCCCTTTCTACTGTGAAGTCACCCACATCACCCACCTATCCAAGTCCAGGGTCACTGTCACGGGCTCAGACCGGTCTCTCTGTCCTGGCTACCTGGGGGGACCAGCTTTCTCCATTCTTCCTCCACTACAGGGCCCCCCAAACCCCTCAGGAGCTGGGTACCGCCCGCCCAGAGTACCTTGATGATGTCCAGGCCCGGCTGCGGGTACTCCAGGACCGGGAGCTGCTCATCGATGTTCATCAGGCCAATCTCGTCCGGGTCGGCGCCCTGGCTCACCAGGTAGACCACCTCTTGCAACAAGCTCGTGCCTGGAACGAGAGGCCCCAGGAAGCGGCGCTCAGAGGAGGCCCCAGGGTGGCACCTGCGCCGGAGAAGGGGACCGAAGGGCCACCTGGTGGGTGGCAGGGTCCCAGGAGCTCCTCGAGTCTCGTGGAAGAACACTGGTCTAAGCACAAGACCTCGCTCGGCCTGAGTCCCACCCTCCGGGGTGGCTGTGAACTGGCCTTTCTGAACTCGTTTCCTCGGCCCTAAGTGGGGGCAGGAGATGCTTCTCAGGGTCGTCATGAGAAGTGACTGATCTCCATGGGCTCAAGGACTACAATAACAGATGACACCCAGTCCTGAGCTTTCCAGAAGCTCAACTTTCCGTTTACCCAGGAGTGATGAGGCTCTCACCGGCCAATCACTCAGTGAAAAGCCTGACTACTCAGTATCTACTGAGGCTGAACACAGGTATGTCAGTGAAAAGCCTGACTACTCAGTATCTACTGAGGTGTACCTGTGTTACACCTCATGATCCAAGAAACAGGTACACCTCATGATCCAAGAAACCTACTCCGGGTTACCCACCCGAGACGATGCCGTCACACAGGTGCTAGAACGATCCTGGCCGTGTCGTTCAGTACAACAGAAACATCGTCAACAGCAGAATGAGTAAGTCGTGACACTCAGACGATGGGCCATGGAGGCCTTGAACTACTGCGCTCAGCAAGGCTGAATCCCACGCGTCGAGCAAAAGGAGTCAGACCCCAAAGGCCTGGTATTGTGTGATTTTTCGTGTTTCCATTTATATTAGGCTCAGAATTGGGCAGAGAGTGACAGAGGTGGGAATAGTGGTTTTGGGGGGGGAGGGGCGTGTTATCAATAGAAGACACAGAAGCGATTCTGGGGTGCTAGGGTTACTCTATCTGGGTCGGGCGGCAGCTCCGTGGAAGTACGCAAATGTGAGTCACAGTTCAGTTAAAAGGAAAAGCCACCTATCTGGCCAGGGGTGTGGTCGCCATGACCTGCTCTCCTAAGGAAGGCTGAGGGGGAAACCGAGCCACGTGACAGCCTGCCACGTCAAGCACAAGAGATGGGACAGCTTGGCCTGATGCCCCAAACCATCGAAGGCAGAGGGAGGCACACCAGGGAACAAGGGTGCTCACTGGTGCTGAGGACACCTCCTCACCCACTACGGGGCCACAGCCTCCTATCAGGCTGCGGACTTGCTGGCCAACGCCACCCTCACACATCGCCCCATGAGCTGGCCCTGCAACACGGCCTGGACAGGTCCCCTACTGGGAGCTGGGGACAGTCTCCTGGCATGTTTCAGATTCACGTTCCACGCCGGCAGCCTAGACGCCTCCTGTGGCTCCTCACTGTTCATACGTTAAGGTCGGCGGCCCACCTCCTAGCGAGGCCTCAGCGCTCCCTGTGCCGGCCCTCTGGGGTGCAGCTCTCCACCCTCGGCAGTCCGCTGGGGTCTCCCCTCGGCTGAGCACCCCTCTACCTGTCAACCTGAGCACAGCAGCTTCGAGTCATCTGCACCGGTAAGGTGTCCTGACCCCCCTAAGTCCCCCTGCCGTTACTCATTCTGTGCCAGCACCATGACCAGGGGACTGACCACACGCACAAGCACTACACATGACGATCACCACATGTGAGTGGACGGTCACTCTGGGGCAGCAGCACGGCGTCCTGCCTTTCCCGCCCTGCCTTTCCCGCCCTGCCCCCGCACCCCGCGCTCTAACAGCAGGTGCTCCAACACCTTGGCGTTTGCTTCTGGCAGGAAGAGCAGGGCCTGAGCCCAGACATGGGGTGAGCCACCCAGGGCAGAGCCCCCATGAGCACTAGGGCCAGGCGGATGCCTGACCGGGTCAGCAGGTAGCCCCCCGGGGAGAAGGGCGGCTCCCCGTACCTCCTCCACCCCTCCATTCAGGCTGTCAGCTCCAGGCCACCAGGGAGCCCAGGGCCAACCCCAGTCACCACCCTGTCTGACCCCTTGGAAGGAACGGGCACGGCTGGCCAATTCCTCCTCACCACACTTTTGTCCCTTCACTTCTGGGGTGTCGGTCTCCGCCGCTGGTTCCTTACCTCCCCACCCTGAAAACGCCCACACGCCTCACGCCCCTCCCCTCTCCGCCTCGGACCCCTCCTCTCCCGCCTGCAGCCACTCCCTAAGCTGTCCCCCCAGGAACGGGCCAGCCCCGCTATAATCCGCTCTGCTCCCCCTGCCCCCTCAGCAAACGGCCCCCGCCCGGGGCAGCTGCTCAGGCAGAAGAGTGGACTCGCCTTCCTCGGGCCTCGCACCTCAGCAAAGCCCGCTGGTCCAACCATCAGGCAAGCAACAGAGGGGGCCCTTCCACCCGGGGACACTGGGAGAGCCCCCACAGCTCCACTTCTGCCCAGCTCGCCCCAGCTTTCAGCCAAAACGACTGTGCTGGACCACACCCTGTCCACCGAAGCCCGAGGGCGTGTCCCCACAGAGCAAAGCAAGGTCCCCGTGACGGTCCTCCCACGGTGCACAGCCTGTCAGCCGCACCCCATGCTCCCACACCCCACATGGCTCTCACAGCCTCTGTCCCTGACCTCCCACTGGCTCCCTGGCCAACGAGCGTGCTGTTCGCATCCGCTGGTCCCCTGCCTGGGGCCCCTACCTGGGGCCCCTTCCTCAGGCCCTTCAGGGGTGAGGCTCCCCTGACCAGCCACACGACTAACACTCCCGCTCCCCAACCCTTGCCTGGCCGCTGGCGCCCACTGCGCCAACAGCCCGGACAGCCCCCACACTCCTATATTCTGAATGCACAAACTAACTCTGGGCACTGAGGAACCAGAAGGCAATATGCCGAACAAGGAAGACTTCCTGGAGGAGGCAGCTTTGGAGCAAACAGCCTGAATGAAAAGCGGTGTGGCAGCTCTTCAAACAGAAAGAACTTCCATCCATTAACCAGAGGATCCTCCCACCAACCTGAGAGGCAGGGAGAATCACCCCACTCACAGATAAGGCTCTGGGCCCAAGGTCAAGAGCTCGTAATGGCTCCTACCCCATTCCCCCTACCCCCTGCCGCCTCCGTGAGGCCCGTCCATCCAGCAGCTCAGGGCAGTGCCCTTAGGAATGGGCTGTGGGCAGATGGGCAGAGGTCCTGAAATGGGCCTCTCCCAGTGCTGTCTCCAGGGCCTGTTTTCAGTGCTCCCCACCCCCAGCCCTGCGGCCCCCACGGGCAAGGACCTAGACGGCCATTCTCTGCACGGCGATGTCAACTCGTAATTTCACATGCCCCATCCTCGCCTCCATTAAACATCTGTGCCAGAACACCAGCCTCGCCGGAGCTGGACGGGAGCTCTGCAGCTGCCAGGCCACTGGCCTGTCCCTGGTGGCCCTCACTCCAGCCCCTGCAAATCCACGTCCTGGCTGAGCAACTCAGCTTACCTTCACCAGCTCCCAGTGGAGCCAACAGGAGGGCATGCCGCGAGCCTGCTGGGCGCCAGGGAGGGCGGGGGACGGGGTACATGGGACAAGTGCAGCAGGCGGCCCCTGCCCTCCTTGGGCCAGCAGGCAAGACATGACAAAATGACCACAGAAAAACACCAGCTGAGGATGACTGCACTGACCGGTCACCACGTGGTTCCAGACACTCTTCTAAGCACCGTGACCGAAGGCCAAACACAGGCTTTGTAGTCACGCAGCCCTGGCTCTGCAAGGGCCTCCTCCAGGGCCAGCTGCGCCCGGTCCTCTCCCAGCTGGTCTCCCCTCTCCATGCCCACTGCCCCCACCCTACGTCCCACGCCCCCAGGGAGCACCCCTGGACACTAGCACTAGCCCCTCCCCCCTCCACTCTCCTGGCTGCCATGGCCACAAAACACCCCTCCCCTGCTGTGTCCTGGGGATGCAGCCCACTCGGCCCCCAGTCTCTCTACGTCCCTCTGGAGCTCTGTGCTGCAGCCAGGTGTCCTCCCACCATCAGCACCCCTGTGGCCCAGGCCTTCAACGGACCGCCCTTCCGCCTGGCCAACTTGATCTTTGGGCCACCACCACTGGAAGCCTTCCCGAACACCCCTAGTCTTATCAGGTGCCCTTCCCAGCCCCAGACCCACCTACTGCTGTCCTACTGCACTTGGCACACTGTGCACACCTGGGGGGCTACCTGGGGGCAGCTTCTGAGAGCAGGGAATGTGTCTTCATTATGATTGTTTTTACGGCTGCAGTCACAGATTACCACAAAGTCGGTGGCTTCAAACAACACAGTCACCATCCTACAGTTCTGGAGACCAATGCAGGCCTCATCGGGTAAACGCAAGGTGTTGGCAGGGCTGCGTTCTTTCTGAAGGCTCCGGAAAGATGTCGTGTTCTCGCTGCACCCAGCGCCCCGCTTCCAGGCAGAGGGCATCACTAGTGCACCCTCCCCTGCGCCCCTGTCCACTGCCAGGAACCCCGCGGCCATCTGTGTTCACCCACATAATCTGGGACGTCTCCTGTCTGAATGGCAGCGAACTAGCAACCTTGGCTGGCCCTCGCTGCGTCAGGTGAAAGCTCGCGGGGCAGGGACTGGGATGCGGCCATCCCCGGGGGCTGCTGTTCTGCCGACCACACACCCGCCACGCTTCCAACACGGCCCGGCACCGAGCAGCACTGAGTAAACACGCAGCCTGAACGACCGGCCGCGCGGCTCCACGATCTCCCCCAGCAAAGGCACCACGGCTACACCTGCAGAGCCTGAAGCACGAGGGGACTCAGGGGACACGTGTCCCCAGCGGGCTCCCCCTGTGCTGACCACACTGCAGGGCCCTCTGCTCTCACACAGCAGGGACGCGGAGCTGCTTTCTCCTGAAAGACCGGTCACAAGGCAGTGGACACGGCCTGCTCTGCGGCCTCCGCCCCGACACTCGAGGTGGCAGCACCCACTTCTCACGGCAGGGTCCCCCACCAGTGCCAGCGAAGCCTGGTTCCGAGGCGGCTGTTCCTGCCAGGCTGCTCCAGGACTCCCCTCCAGACTCCTGGGGCTGCTCTGCTGGGTGCTGGGCCAGGCGGCCGACAGCCGGGGCCAGC